TGTAAATTATATATATATATATATATATATATATAAACCCATGTATATTTTTACTAAAGATTTCCAATTGGTTCAAAAACAGCCCTTTCTCTGGAAGATTCATCAGTAAATATTACAAGAGCATCAAAAACTGGTTGATTAAAAAACTAGGAAATACAAATGAATTTTTATTTGCAAAATTTAATAATTTACCTTTTGGATAACGGTGAGTAATTTGACCAGGATAATTGGCTAATGCAATTATCCATTCTGAACAATATTGATATAGCCAATTAACTAGTAAAGCATTATAACAGGCAATGATTTATACAAGAGAGAACAGGAAGAGATAAAATCCTGAACTTCTTCAAAGCTCGATGAGCCTCCATAGTTAATTCTCCCCTAGAATTAGGATCATTATTTAGAACAGACAGCGTGAAAAACAGGGGGCCAACGGCTCCAACTGGAATATAGGGGTCCAGCTCAGTCGGTTCTAAACATGGCTTAATTTTCCATGATGAAGACCCCAAGCCATGCTTCTCTGCGTATTTACTGAGAATAACAGGGGAGGTAAACAAAGTAAAATCATAAGGAAGTACAAAACAAAAATAAAGGGTAATGGTGAACTCTTTCCCAGATAAGGACAAGTTCCTCTTTATGCTAATCTCAGTAGGGAGGGATTCAGTTGATACAAATCAAGAACAATGTTGACTCCTTAGTGCCACAAGGTGACCTTCAGCTTGCATTAAGATTCCCTCATTTCCTGATACAGCATCCAATTTGACATTGAGGTTTTCTCAAATACAAACACTAAAATTCACTTTTCTCTAAACCTTTTACAACTTACTATACATCCTTAATTTGGCTGTTACTATCTTCCATATTCTGGCACAACCAGACATTCTATTTCAAAGCAAAACTGCTTTCATTTTAACTCTTAAACAAAAAAATGCACAAAACTTACTACCAGTTATTCTGCTTTTCCCCTTGAAATCCATACCATGTTAAAACTTTCAATTCCATCCTCAAAATGATGTTGTTGTTATGTACCATTGAGTCGTTTGCGACTCATAGCGACCCTATGCACAACAGCCCTAAACCCTGCTCTATCCTGTGCCAATTGCACTGCCTCTGACACACCCATCCCGATTACCCCAGTCACCGAATCAATCCATCTCATAGAGGGTCTTCCCCTCCTGCGCTGTCCC